TCATATTACACTGACAGTAGTCATGCCAGCAGTCATGTGAATCCGATGTTTTTTCCGGCTGACAGTGCAGATGAGGACAGGCGTAGCCAGAGTCTTAAGTTGAATATTTTAATATTTCTCCTTGTTGTTGTACTTGTATTTGTACTTTTTTTAGTTATCCTGGTACTCATTAAGGTGTGAGAACTGTATGGTATCTTTTAGAAAAAATCTGTGATTATCGTATGTTTCTGCACTATATGTTTCTTTTCCAACAATAAGCTATTCTGAATAAGCTGCCCCAAACAGTTTTGATTCAAACAGGGGCATGAATGTCATTTAACCACCAATAAGTTGGTCTGAATAAGCTGCCCCAAACAACAAGCTAGATTATTCTGATAATCTGCAGATTATCAAATTATCAGAATAATCTGCTTATCAGCAGATTATAAATAATGGACGGCTCCATAATTTCATCGAATTTGACTTGGCATTGGATGTTGTGGACGATGTGGAGACGGAGCATTTTCCGAACCATTGGCATCGGTGGCGTTGCACAGTCTGTATCGCCGGCCGGAATTTCACTGCGGCAGCTATCGAGTTCCACGCGAAGGTTCGCGGCTTTATGGGGCAATGGCGATTTCGGCAGGCTAGGGCTTGGGAACTTGGAGTCTAAGTGGAAGCCTACTATGTGCCCCTTTTTCGAGGACGACCCTCCGATAGCCATTTCCTGTGGTGGTGCTCACACGCTCTTCTTGACTGGTGGTCCATTTTTCCCTTATATGTTTTCGTTGTTCAATTTTCTTCTAGATCGATTGACATAGGATTATCACGTCGATATTGCTAACTTCAATTTACCTTCGAAATGTTATATTCGTAATCGTTGGGAATTAGGGCCACAATTGTTTATTTTCTTTTAGTTTGCTTAGATTTTGTCAAACTAAGGTTGTTATTGAATGAGGTGCTGATTAGTGAAGAGATGCGCATTATTGATGCCACGCATAGGAGCTCTAGAAAGTAGCTGATATCAGAGAATTTTCTATTTATGAGCACCGTTTTTTCCTAATGGTAATCAGTTTTTCTATTTCATTTGTACAACTGCCATTCTGATATCTGAAAGACCTTTACTGGGCGGCGCATATTCTTTGGCCTATCTTAATGGGGAGCCTTAAGTTTCCATCAATCATGAACAAGTTTTAAATTATTCGAAGGATGAACCCGGATCCATGCAAAAAGAAAGAGGGAAAAAAAAAACTCGCATCTCATCAGAATGAATATTTTCCTATTCCAAGTTATATCTGTTTTACTTCATCGCACTTTTTGAGCCTTTGGTAATGGATTTAAGAAATCCTGTAAATATGGGTTTTTTAAATTCTGCCTACAACAAGATTTAGTAACTTCCGGATTTAAGGCAAAATTGGGAAAAAATGAGAAAAAAATGAATTTAATAATGACTTCTTTGGGATTAATTTTGTTTTTTGTTATTTCTTTCTTTTATATTTAAAAACATGTTTGTTTAGTGAGTTTTTTTTACATATTTTTATTTCTATCTCTATAAAGAAGTTAAACTATTTTTGAAAGCATTCAAAATATGTTTTAAATGTTTTTAAAACAAATATTTTCTTAATTGTACATGCCAAACATGTCTTGTATCAAATCAAAAAATATATAAAAAAAATAAAATAAAAGTGATCCCAAACGGTCCCTAAATCCAGGATTTAAAGGTTGTCTTTTTTTTTTTTTTTATGCCGGGAAAGATTTAAGTTCAATCTTACTTCATCCATTACTAGACAACCCCTTAATGCGACAATTGGTTGTATCAAGCGCATTCAAAACAATTGTAATTTCTTGTTCGTGATTTACATCCAGAATCATTCTTTCATTTTATGCCCATTTTTGAAATGTTTACTCTCCTATATCCCTATCTAACTAGCATTTTGTACTCGTGTGTCAGTTTGTATGTAGTGCTATGTTGCTGTTGTATGCTGCTTAAGATTTGATCACATTGCCATTTCTAAGTTAGCATTGTTAGTTAAATCAATTTATGCATCATGAGCGCTGAAGCAGTTATGTAATTGAAGACAATCTTTTCGCTTAGAAAATAAAAGATGCTCATATCTTACATTTCAAGAATCCCTTAAAAGTTTCTTCACGAAGAGCTGATCCTGAAATTTTTCTGAAAGGGGCACAAATTTTAGGTTTTAAAAATGATCTTTACATTTCTCATACGAGACAGGGACATGTATTGACGGTTTTAATACATATTTTTGTTAGAGTTTTAATATAAAAATATAAAATATATGTTGATATATTTATTTTTAAAATAGGCTATTTTCATCGACATATTTTTTCTTAGAAACATAGAATTCATTGAAATGTAGTTTAAAAAAGGGGAAATATTATCAAAATGTTTAAATAATTGTAAGATTTTCTTATTTTTATTGATACTTTAAATGAAAAAAAATTATAAGAAATAATTATATTTTGTATAAAAAAATGTTGTCATTGTTAATATTAAAGTTAATAAATCTGTCATTATTATTTTTTATTATTTTATTTTAACAAATACATATTTATTATTTTCAGATAATGGAACTCTATATGTTATTAAAGAACAATTGAGATTATTTTTTAAAAATTTCCGGATCTTATTTTAATTAACAAGAACATCCAGTAAATTTTTATTATTTTATATGTTGTTTTAATGATATTAATATTTGATATCAATATTAATAGTACTACCGACTATGATTACTGTAAAAATGCTTAATTTTAAAAAATATGACCAATTCACCCTTAATAATTAATGAGTAATAAAAAAGAAAAATGGAAAAATAATCAATCAAAAAGGTTCTTTTGACCAAAAACAATGTTCAGTACTTATGATTGAAAGTAAGCATCTCATATTACATGAAATTGTGACCATAATTGGGTGAAATAATTCATTGTTTATCGCCATGATTAGACCATCCAAATTATTTGAGATCATTTATATGAATATTGAATACTATTTCTCTATTCCTGTGATGGCTACTAGGTCTTATCTCTAATTCATTACTTTTTTTTTTGATACTTTATAACCACACCACCTTTGATCGGCTATTTTCTTTCCATATCTTTCTCATTAATGCGTGCATCTCTTTTATTGTTCATCTTTCAAGATATCCCCTATAACTTGTATTTTTCATCACTATCTCTAATAGGTATTGCTATCATTGTCTCTTAAGCATAATCAATTCTCACAATATCCTTCTAAGTTTTGTCATGCATTCATCTTGAGATCCTCATTTATGTCATGCCTAATTAATTTCCTAAAATTTATCTGTAAATCTCTGATAAAATTGCTATTTATTGTAACTGTCATAGTTCAAGAAGGGGAGGGAAACCACTTATTTTTACCAGATAACTATCGTTGTCAGCTGGTCAAACGTTTCGGTGATTTTGTGGCTGCAAGAGCTTGTGCGTTTCATGCAATTTGGGGCTATGGTTATTTCTAACACATTTTAAAAACTTGGGTTAACGGCAACTACGACACTTGATAAAATTAATTTTAAAAGATGATTCATAATGCCGATTACAAATTGTCGGGAAATGGCTCATGATAATGACAAAGGTCATATTAAGGCTCGGGCTGGACATTTTTTCTTGCTCGTGTTTCTGTTGCTATTAGTGCTAATATTGGTTTGAATGATCGTTTTTCTAAATTTTTGATGAAGCACGCTGTTGGCATTTATTATGACATTTATTTTCTTCAATTGACAGAAAGTGGTCGAGTTTATGCTACTGGTTTGAACAACTTTGGACAATTAGGAACAACAACTGCAAAGACGCATGTCCCAGTAGGTTTTTGTTTAATATTTCATGGCTTTCTGAGCTTTTTTTACCATCTAGATGCATTTTTAATTTAAATTTTGACGTTTTTTTGGTTGCTTGCTGCATCTTTATTTTATTATTTGCTTAATCTTGGTATGTTACTGCAGTTCTGCTTATTTAATTGCAAGATCTGATTTCAAATTCACTAGAGAAATTGATTTTTATGGGACCATTACTGTTTCTGTTGGGATTTTGGTTATTGTCTTTATTTACCTTTGAATTTATTCGTATGGGATGTGAACGTTGTGCTAAGCATTCTTGGAGTCTTGTAAGTTGCTCATCCTTTTTAACAATATTGCAATTACTTGACATTTTTTTCCTTTTTATTTATTTGTGGTTCACATTTTGTAGAGCTGATTAACATTTGCCTCAATTCTCTAACCATTTTTGGCACTTCACAACTAACCAGAATGATAGATTGATTTCAATGTCTTAAATCTCCGAAACTTTAATCATGGCTTGCATCATTATGATAGTTATTGAGGCAATTCTACTTTTCTACGGTGAAATCATGCTTTGTTTCATGACATTTGCTAGAACACGCATCTGTTGTCTACAGCCAGTTTAGTCTTTTGTTCTTTATGATTGTTTGGTATAAATAGAGCTTAATAGGTTAGGGTTGGTGCATGATGAGATCATTGTCATTAGTATTAGGGTTAGGATTTTGGGAGAGATTGTCTACCTCTCGAATTGTAGGTGCTAGTGTTAGGGTTTGAGAGATATTGCCTATCTCTCGAATTGTAGGTGCGTATCTTTTATGCATTTAAGATGTGTTGTTTTGCGTTAGTGAAGGAAAGAATTTTATTTGCCCGCATATTTCTGTGAAATTTGTCTCTGTTCCTATCAGCCTTCTAGCTTTATTGACATAAAGAAAATACCAAAATATTGAAGGGAAGCATTTTCAGTTCCGACCATCTTCACTGCCTCGTAACACTTCCATGCAGACAATTTAAAATACAGCAATTATAATTTAATGAATATTAGTGGCACCATGCTTGTGGGAAACTTTCTTGCATGTTTAATGGAATTACCCTCTAATGACATCTTTTGTTAAAATTTTTAATTAATCATGATTTTGAATGTCTTTTGTTTTCCCAAATGGGCATTGGAGGTTTATTTGCTTCCATATTATTAGGCAACACATTTTTATATCTATTATGGCCTTCAAATTTTTTACTAAAGAAGAAGTCATAGAAGATTGATCTGTTGCTAATTTGGACACAACTAGGTTTGTAAAGCAAAAATAAAGTCTAAATTGAAATATGAAAAAATAATTTTTTTCATGCATACCAATCAATCTAAAATGCCAATAAGATATTTATCCTGTAATAGTCCATTCATATTGAGATAAAGTATGCTATCAAGATTGATTAATTGCATGGAGGCGACATAAAATTGAGTTACAAAATTTATGATTAACTTGATTATTTGATAAGAAGTGAGTTGAACCAAGTTTCATTATGAAAGTGTTCAATCTGAGTACTTAACATGTGTTGAAAAGTGAATACTAACTATTGGGTGCTTTGAATCCCAAAAACTTCAAACAAGGTTTCGAAGCTAGCTCTTTCGATCGATAAGAATTGAATGAACTCTCTAGTCATGTAGTCATTACAAAAATTCTCTCAGACATGGATGAGAATTGTATTTTGTCTCAAAACCTATCAATAAAAAAAATAAATAAATAAACTTTGATTTTTATATTAAATTCCACATACTTCAAGCATAAATATTTGCCCCCACAAAATAAAATAAACTTTTGAAATACCTTGGGGTTTTTAATTTGCATTAGATGGTATGACTTAAAGAAAAAAAAAAAGAGAAAATAATACTGAAAGGCATTTAAGCAGCAAAGATACATCACATACATTAGATTATTTTCACACATCTTTCTCTATTTATCACAAATTTTGAATGAATTAGTCGTTAAAAGGCGAAGATATATCTTTTTCTATAGGTTTTAGCTAGTTTGAATTTTAGCCATTAAAAATTTGTAATAGATGGTAAAATAGGTATGAGTTTAATTGTCTTTGTCAACGCCCCCTATATTGCCTAGAATAACAAAAATATTAAAAATAAAGTTAAATTAGTACCTGTGCTTTTCTCAGCTTTCGTTATCTAGTTAAAGGTTGAGCAAATAAATTTAAGTTAAGACATAAATATCTATAAATATAAATTTAAAGTAAATATAATATAGCTAATAATTTATCGTTTGAATAAAAAAGTGTTGTCATGAATTTATGGGTATGCGTTTAACTTACATGAATAAAATTTTAATTTAAATTCAAATGCAAGCACAATAATGTATATGATATGATAGTATATAAAAAACATATAATGTGATTGTCATGTTTTTAATAAAATTGTTATACTTTTTAAATTATAGATAATTTTTTTTTTTAAAATGATGTGATAGTTTAATATGTAATAAAATTGTTATAATTTTCAAGTTAAATATTGTTTCATGCTGTATTTGACTTTAAAAGTAATGGTATATATAAAATAATATTGAATATTTAATAAAATACTCATATTTTTTAAATAAAATATGTTGCACTTAGGCTTATGATGTGGCGGTCATTGAATCCTGCATGTTGATGGTTGAATGCTTATCATTTTCATCACTTGGGCTATTTGACCTTTATTTTCTCTCTCTTTCTATTTGTATATACACGCATGCCTGTGTTTATACTTTATGCTTATAATTTATTGTCATGAAAATCATATCTTGTTTATAGTATATCTTTTGCTGAACTTGAAGAAATATTTTATTATAATTTTTAAAATGATATTTGCATATATTTTATTTATTTACATATTTTTATTTTTATATGTGGATGCATACCTTTTTTATATAATCGCGCATGGGTGTGCACACGTGTGCATACGCACATATATAATGTACTATAATAGATATTTATCCTCGTGCACATATTGCAATATGTGCCACTCATGCAGATTAGTGGTTAAAACTTGTCGTCACATGCGTGCACACTCGTTCGCTTATATATTTTATCTGTTGTTTATTAAAGAAAAAATATTTATTATGGTTATAATATATGCTATGAATAACTTGATGATGAAAGATAATATTATAATATATAAACTTTTTACTTTTTTTTGTATAATCGTGCATACATATACACATCTATATAAGGTAGTATAAGACATATTTATGCTTGAGCACATATAGGATGTGCCACACATGGAATAGTAGGACTTGTCATCTCTAGTCATCTCTAAGGCTATAAAAACATATCTTAGTTTAGTGTGTGTACATGTCCAAGCTCTCTCCCGCATATATGTATGTTTTCTAGTTCGTACTTTAAACTTATTTATGGTTTATTCTAATAAAATAAAAATGTATGCTTTGCTTATGACAACATGGTGGTGAAATATATTAATATAGTGTATAATTTTTATGATATTACATGCATTTTATCTTCATATTTAAATTCTGCATGTATGCATGTGTAATTGTTTTTTGTTTACTCACTTATGCATATATATAGCATAGATGTTTGTTAGCTGTGGAAAGAAAATTTTGTAAAACTAAAAGCACGTTAATTTATGTGTTTGTGCGCTTCACACATGTATGTATATTGTTGTATAATAGAAATTTATGCATGTCGTATATAGTTAGATAATTTTATTTGGGTTATGAAATATAATGTAAAATAATAAATGTTTTATATGAAAGTAATTCAAATGGAAGGACGGATTTGCCACTATCTATTAGATGACCTTGTAGTTTTCATTGAAATGGTTACTTCAAATCCTACTTCTAGAAGAGAAAAGTGGTTGATACAAGAGTTAACCTAAACCACAATAGGGAAAACAAATAGACGATTACAACCAACATAGTTGAAAGGGAAAATACAATAGCAAGACACCCGAAAATCTGAAATAACAACACACATGACACAAACACTCAAACTAGGGTTGGATTTGGGGGTGGTGGTAGTGGTCATCAAAGGCTTGGATGGTGGCGGAGTGGCAAACGAGGCAGCTGGCAAGTAGAAAACCGCATGACACTGGTTTTCAATGGTCCGGGCTGCAAGCAAGCTATAGGGATTGATGCAGGAAGGTTGCACAACACGACGACAACAAAAATGAGGTCGGTCCAGAGCAACAACTTCAAGAGTGCGGCCTGTTTGGGGTGCCACAACAAGGTGTAATGGGAGAATCGAGGGTTCTGGATGACGACATCAGGTTGGAAGGGGGAGGGCGCCTTTTTTGGAGGCGGTGGCAAGGTGAGAGGATGGATGGCTGCTGGGAGGCGGGGAACTTCAGGGAAGACAACTACAAAAAGTTGTCCGGGTAGCTGCAGCTTGGAAAGATGATGGCGACAACGAAGGTAGGGTTGCGTAGAAGTTGGTGTGGAGACCAAGATACAACCAAAGCACCAATTAGACCTGAGAATACAACCCTTGCAGGGAGGAAGAGTCGTCGACGACTTTCGTGATACAAAACACATAAAATTGGCTTCTAAACCTTAATACAACACACATATATAAGATGACTTAAAAGGAGTCAAGGATGATAGGAAATAAAGAAAAAAAAAATTGGATTGATTGGCCAATCTCCCTATCTCCCGCATTCGCAGTAGTCGCGCGGCTCACTCCTGCGTCAGTGCCACTTTCTACCATTTGCTTCCAACCATAAATGCTCCTTGTCAAAGGGAAAAAAGGAAAATTATCTTGTGGTCCCATATTTGGCTTCAAATATTCTCTAGGTTTTATGATTGACTTAAAATTATTGCAAATTGACAATAAATCCTACGTTTATAAATTTGGCTATTGTTAATTTGAATGTTATTACTAAAATAATGAACCTGATTACTTTTATTCTGAATATTGTTACTAAATAATGGTTTTAGTTAATCCATTCTTAATTTTATCATGTTGAAACATGGATAAGAGAATTCACTTTCAACTTTTTTTAGCTGCGCAACCTTCAGCAGAGCAACGTTTGAACTGTTTCTATTTGTATTCTAACCAGCACTGCTTGTCTGTAAATTCTGACATCAGGATAAGAGAAAAAAAAAAAAAAAAAAAGATGGAAGTTGAAATGGCCTAACTTATATTAAATGTATTTGCGTTATCCATGTCTTTTTTGAATTTAGGTAATCTTATTCAACTTTAATGTCGCCCTAATGTACATTATCAGCTATTTGTCTCTGATGCTTTTTCCTCAACCATTTTTGCAGGAACCTTTCCATATTTCTGGGTTGGCTGATAAAGTTGTACAGATATCTGCTGGTTACCACCATTCTGCTGCTGTCACTGGTGAGGGCACAGACACAGGTGTAACTATTCTTGTTTCTAGCGCGAATCTATAATATTCCTTATTTTGGTTTAAACCTCAGTGTGTTAGCTTTTATAAAACTGAACATGGTTTTAAATTATTTTGAAGTCCAAAATATCTTGGCTAAACTTTGGAAGCTGATACCTTAGCGTTTATAAAGAACCTGAACTTCATTATTATTAGTGATTCCAGCTTCCTTATGAAACATATGATTTCTCAATTATTTTCTCTGTTTCAATTTGCAATGAAATATGAAAGCTTTTCATGGACATTGTTTGGGTGGTCAGCATTTTTTGTGATACTAACCGATTCTCAATTTACCAAAAGTTATTGATTTTCTTTCCCTTTCATAGCTATTTTTAAGTTGTTTAAATTTCTTTTTCTTTTGTTCCTATTGAGGGTGCATAGGTTGGCTACATTTGGTTTAGGGTGACCTAGTATCTCATTTACATGTCATATTTATGTTCTGTTTTTTGTTTTTGTGGAAAATTGAGAAGTTTCGGCTCCTTCCCATGGTGCGCCGGATGGCCACTTAAAAAATAATGTAAGATTTGAATGGAGTCAAACTTGGCAACCTCTTGATTAGTTTTATTTCCTTCTCATTTTTTGTTTCTTTATTTTTTATTCCAGAATTTTTTCTTTTTCTAATTTAAATTAGATATATTTGGTAGGTTTGTAAATTAGGAGGGAATGATTTTTCTATATATATGTATCCTAAATGCAAATAATGAGATGAAGTATTTTTTTCTCTCCAAACTTACTTTTCACATGATATCAAAGATTCGGTTGGGCTGCGATGGGATTAGGACAATGTTCATCATTCGGCTTCGACTTTGTCTGGATCACTCGACGACGTCATCTACTCGTCAGGATCGCTCGTCTTAAATGTTCGACCACGTCGTCTACTTGTAGGGAGTACTCGTCCATGTTGTTTGCTCGTCTGGATCGCTCAGCTGCTTCAGATGCTCGTCTGGTTAGCCCGTTTTCTTTGTATGAAGCCACATTTGGCTTTGTCTGAATTATGCGACATCCCTCATTTGCCGACTCTCCTATCCCTCCTTGTCGGACTTCTTCTGTTGTCCCTGCGACAACCATATTATGTCGGCCTTTCTCGATTCTTGTTTTCCGCAGCCGCCAGTTTCCTTGCAGGCCCTTTCCTGTTCTTTGCCACCAGAACTCTCCTTATAGACAAAATCCTCCTGCTACAGGCCCTCCTCTACAGAAATCCCTTTAGCCGATCCGCAGACCCTTCTCCAGAGCCCCACCTTTTCTTCCTAGCACTGAAATTCTCCCTATAGGATCTCATCTATTCAATTTTTGCAGCCGGAAGCTTCCTAGCAACGGATCCTCCTCCTGCGGATTCTCCCCTCAGACACCTTTTTAGCCGAAATTCTCTTGTTTTGCAGCATCAACAACAACAAAGGCAAAAAGTAGCGTGGTTGCAAGCACACCAGTGGCAACAAGCAATATCAGTCGCCAAAATTTTTCTTTTTCTTCAACAACCGTTCCTCTACTTGCAGAAGTGACAATCAACTCTCTTTTTGCAATTAGCACCATTTCTAAATACACATAGAATGTATGACTAAGTATGGGATGACGATGTCAAGTTCTACTCTAGAGATTAATCCTGAATCATAAACCAAGAATTTTCTTCCGATGATTTTTGAATTTTCCAACTTTATCACAAATCCTAAACTCAATGACCATGACTTCCTTCAATTGTCCCAAGATATGTTTATGTACATTTGTGGTAAAGAGAAAGAGGAACATCTCACGAGAGAGGGCAAATTTCTTGAGATCTCTGACTCCAACTACCGCACATGGAAGCCAAGGCATAGCCATAATTCTTCCCATGACTTAAAGTTCAAGCATAATCACTCACATGTGACTATTGCAAGAAGATTGGATATCTCAAAGACAAATGTTGAAAACTTAATGGAAAGCCAACAAATTTGAAACATGAACACAGAAGGATAGATTAAGAGAAAAGGCTAATGCTGCTACCACATTTGAAAGATTGGCTCAATCATTCACCAAGGAACAACTTGAAGTACTGAAGAAATTTCTTGGAGGTAATTCATAATAATACACCAACCTTGTGACACACCAATGTAATATATCCGTCTCCTATATTTCCAGTAATGAGAGATTTAAATCTTGATTCATAGATTCAGGAGCCTCTGATCATACGACCAGTGATATCAATACTCTACAAGAGATTTCTACATCTAGATCAGTCAGACTTATAGATGGATCAAATTAAAAAAATATTGGGAAAGAAGATGTGGAGCTATTTCAAGATATTATTTTTTTCTCTGTTTTATATGTTCCACAGTTGGACTTCAATTTGATTTCAATCAATGAACATATTCATGATATGAAATGTATACAACAACAACAACAGCAAAGCCTTAATCCCACTACGTGGGGTCGGCTACATGAATCCTTTTTCTCCATTGCGTTCTATTTAGTGTCATATTTTCATTTAGTTCTAGATCATTTTTAATACAATAAGTCAAAGTCTTCCTAGGTCTACCTCTGCCTTTTTTAACACAAGTTGAATCTAAAACATCTACTCTCCTAACATCTACTCTCTACTCTCCTAATCGGATCACCAGATGGTCGACGTTTAATGTGACCAAACCATCTAAGAAAACTTTCTCTAATTTTGTCCGTCACAGGTGCCACACCAACCCTATCACGAATATATTCATTTTGCATTTTGTATCTAAGTGTAAAGCCACTCATCCACTTAATCATTTTCATTTCGACAACACTTAACTTATTATTATGCTTCTCTTTTAAAGGTTAACATTCAGCGCCATAGAGCATTGCAGGTCTCACCGCCGTCTTATAAAATTTTCCTTTCAGTCTAAGCGATACTTTTCTATTACACAAAAGGCCCGAAACATTTCTCCACTTCAACCAACCAACTTAAATTCTGCTATTAACATCCCCATCTATATCACCATCGCTTTGAACAACGGACCCAAGATATCTAAATCATTCACACATTTTAATAATTTGATCACCCAAAGTCACAGTTCTGTCACTAGAGCTATTACTACTAAAATTACATTCCATGTATTCAGTTTTAATTCTACTTAAACGAAGGCCTTTAGACTCCAATGTAGACCTCTATAATTCAAGTTTTTTCTGGGCTTTTTCTCTCGTTTTATCCACGATAAGGATATCATCAGCAAAAAGCATACACCAAGGTACATCCTCCTGTAGATGTCCAGTAAGACCATCCATAACTAAAGCAAAAAGATAAGGGCTTTAAGCTTTTTCTAAATAAATAAAAATCAAATGTAGATTCTCCTTATTATCTCTAAACTTCTCCATCAAACATCTCAATAAATGTATAGCTTCCATAGTAGACCTGCCCGACATAAATCCAAATTGATTATGAGAAATCTTTGTGATGCGTCTTAACCTATGTTCAATTACCCTCTCCACAACTTTAAAGTAGGACACATCAACTTAGTTCCTCTATAATTTGCACACTCTTGTGCATACCCTTTATTCTTAAAAATGGGGACCAAAATACTCTTCCTCCACTCCTCAAGCATCTTACATCTTTTTAGTTTGGCACTTCCTCCACTCCTCAGGCATCTTTTTAGTTTTTAAAATAATATTAAAGAGTTTAGTAAGCAAATATTTCCACACTTCAATTGACACTTCAATTGAGATATCATCAGGTCCTACAAACTTTCCACCCTTGGTTTTCTTTAAAGACTCATCAACTTCTTTTTAACTAATGCGATGGTAAAAATGAAATGTTTTATTATTATTCACATTATTAAGATCATTAAGGTCGATCGTATTTTCAGAAACTTCATTAAAAAGTTTATCAAAGTAACTCACCTACCTATGTTGAATATCTTTGTCTAAGAAAAGTACTTTTTGATTTTCATCTTTAATACACTTTACTTGAGTTAAATATTTACTTTTTTTTTTCTCTTTGTTTGGCTAGTTTATACATATTTTTTTCACCATCTTTAGTATTAAATCTATTATAAAGATCATTAAAAGCAGAATTTTTAGCATCACAGATTATTCTTTTAGACTCGCTACGGGCCGTTTGATATTTTTCCTAGTTCTCTAAGCTTTTATATTTAAACCAATTTTTATAACATAACTTCTTATATTTTTTCTTTTCTTGCACATATATTTTATCTTTTTTTGCACATTATTATTCCAACACCAACTATTTTTATTTATAAAATTTTTTTTTTTGATTCTCCAAGCATATCTTTTGCTACTTGTTTAATGGTGTTTATTACTTTGTCCCACATAACATTTGCTTCTTCATGAATATCCTAAATTTTGAAATCTTGAATTTTACTCATAAAAATAATTTTATTTGTGTCTTTTAAGTTTCTCCATCTAATTCTACGACAATGAGTTATAATATTCTTTATTTTACAACTCTTAATCTTAAAATCTAGAACTAATAAATGATGTTGGGTGCTTAAATTTTCACTTGGAATGACCTTACAATCTTTACAATCGTGACGATCTCTTCTTCTCATAAGAAAATGATCAAGTTGTGTTTTATTAGACCCACTCTTATAAGTAATAAGATGCTCATTTCTTTTCTTGAATAAAATATTAGTAATAACAAAATCATACGCTAAAGCAAAATCTAAAATAATTGTACATTCTTCATTAGTTACTCCAAAACCGTAGCCACCATGAGTATTTCTGAAGTCTTCTACCACTCAACCGACTTGTCCATTTAAATCTCCTTTAATAAAAATTCTTTCTTCAAGAGTTATTTTTTGTATTAAGTCTTCTAAGTCATTCGAAAATTTATCTTTAGACCCTGTATCCATACCTATTTGAGGAGCATAAGCACTTATAATTTTAAAAATCTTAGTATCAATGATGATCTTAAGGGCTATAATTCTATCTATAATTCTATCTCTATTAATTTTTACAACATTATCTTTCAAACTCTTATCTATAATTACACCAACACCATTTCTAGTGCGAC